ATCTCTGTCCCAGACTGGAAATAAAACACAAAGAGGTAAAAAAAAAATTGAGTTAATAAGATTATGATTAATAAAAAAAAAAGTTAGATAATAATAATGAAATAACAATACGTCTTCTTGAATGGCCATCATTCCTGTTCTGAGATGGTTAAATCTCTTGGTCATCATCATCATCATCATCAGAGCTTTAATCTGGTCCAGGGCTTGTTGACAATATCAGTTTTAGCTTTTTCATGGTATGGTATGGTATAAAGTTTATTCATTTTAAAAAACAAAACAAAACAATTCCATAACAATATAAAAAAGATACAAAAGATTTAAAATGAAAGGCAGCAGAAAGAAGAAAAAATCTTATTATATCTGCCCCTTTTTTCAAACAATTATTTCAATCATAATAATCTTCAAGTAACAGAACAAAATGAATAACTTTCTAATTTTTCTAATTCTAACACAAAAAACACACTAAGCTACTTCATATATATTTTTTTAACAATTCAGTTTTGATCTTTTTCTTAAATGTACACATTGACTTGACATTTTTCACATCACTCTCTAGACCATTCCACAATCCAACTCCTTGGATTGAGGTAGACCTTCCCTTCAGACTAGTTCTGAATTTTGGTTTGACAAATATCTCTATCCCCTTAAGATTGTAACAACTTTGTCTTTTAACAAAATTTCTTTGGATATTTAATGGTAATGTGTGATTTTGAGCCCTATACATAACTGATAAAATACTGTAATCTACCAAATCATGGAACTTCAATAACTTCAGTTGATAAAATAATGTGCTTGATGGGTGACTGTAATGCTTTCTGGAGATAATTCTTACAGCTCTTTTCTGTAAAATAAAAATAGGTTTTGTAAATGTTTTACACGCTTTCCCCCAAACATCAATGCAATAGATTAAATGTGGAACAATGATTGTGTTATACAACATGTACAGAGCTTTATCATTTAATAATTCCCTGACTTTGTATAGTACTGCAATAGATTTAGATATTTTTGTTCTTACAGAATTTATGTGATTTTTCCATGTTAGCTTTTCATCAATGATTACACCCAAAAATTTCATCTCATTAACTCTACAAAT